GTGAGGGCCCGGCTCCGTGCACGTTGTACTTAACCTGTCCAGGCATCCGTGAACTCAGATGGAGACGTCAGACTTCGTGAAAGGACTGCCACAATGCCACCACGCCACTTGTCCAAACTACAGCTGTATTGTGGCAAAAGATCGGCCAAGCAAGGAAATTCGCACTATTGCACGCAATCGCTATCAGTAGCAGTCGCGTCTTGGGAGCGCAACGGCATTTCACAACTCCCTTAAAGGTCTCTTGCCTCTGCTGCCTCATCTGCGTTTAACGGTTCCTGCTGCTCCCCTAATTGTACGTGCGAACCTCTAGTTCATCTTCTTCAGTTTCAAGTCTAAAGGCGCCCTTCGCAGAAGATCCACCAGTGACGTCTTATCGGCACCAAGTACTTGTACACCCATGCCATGCATTCTCTTGCAATGGTGATATCCAGGGCCGTGACCTTGAGACTACAGGCGACACTAGTCCCTGCCATGGTGCCTTTGGCATTGCCCTGTTCCGAAGCTGCTCGAGCTCATGTGCTCACGTCAGGATAGCCCAAATTCTGATGAAGCTTCTGAAAAGGCCTCCTTCCCCTTCTTCGAGGGCTCTTTTTGTCAGAACTACGCCGTGACTCTTGGTACTCTGAGTCATCCAGCTCGTCGAAATCTCTATGGAGGGCTCAGCCGAGCAGCATAGTACATACTTTCAGGGCCCAAGTTGGCCTGCCTTGCCATCAGGTAGCCTGTCGCCTACTGGGGAAGATCCACTCTCTCTTCCTTCAAAACCGCCTGGTCCTTCTCAAGCCAGATAGTGAGCTCTGTGATGGACTCCTTGTGTGCCGACTTGGCCAACGAAAGCAGCTTCCGTTTCTGGAGGATGTGCCGTCTCCACACAGGGCTGACTACTGCCTTGTTAACCACGATCCTTTCATATCGCCGATCTTGAGGCCTTCAACAGATGCCTTCCCCGACCCCGATAGCGCCTGTGCCAGTTTGACGCCTTGCTTGTCTGGTCAGAACTCAAGATCTCGGGTTCCCTGGTCCACTGGACCTACTTCTCGCTATCGAACACGGTGCCGACCGGGCGAGCTGAAACGAAGTCTCCGCTCCGAACGAAGGCTTCCGAGAATCAGGTGGTAGGTCCTCCGGAGCCGGTATCAGCAGTTGCCAGGTTGTCCTTCGTTGTCCTTCCCCCGGGACCAGCAATCTCGCAAGGCCCGGACTCGCCAGGCAGGCTCCGCTGCCAGCTGAGATGGGCCAAACAAGAGGTTCGCACTTGGGCTCAACAATGTCTTATCAGTGGCAGGATAACCTAAGAACTCAAGGGAGTGCAACCCACTCCTCTGTGCCGGCAGTTTTTGGCACCGCGGAGAATGCAGCCAAAGATGCTAGTCTCTGCCAGAGTCTGATCCCCAGCCTCGTTAGGGAGAGAGATGCCTGCTGAGGAGAGCTTGATGGTAACGTCGCAGTAAGCGCTGCACACCTTAAGCACTTTCGTGTCTCAGCCGCTTTGCAGGTGTCGGCAAAGCTGCATAACTCTGCAACAGGAAACCCGGATTCTGCAAATTTGGCCCCCTGCCATCGATGTAAACGTTGAGAACAGGCTGTCACGGATGGTGGCGCCTCTCTCATGGTCCGTGCACGCGTGTAGGGGAGATAAGTATGGGGAGTTCTGAATCAAATCCATCTCGGAGGCCTCTCATTACGAGCACTATGATTAAAGGTATCACGGAAAAAAACTCTAGTCTAGAACCTGCTTTCCTTGTACGGGGATCTGAGGCTTTGGCTGCCCATCAGCCCCTCGTACTCCATTTTCTCCAGGTAGGCCTCGAAGACAGGCACGGAGTCATAAATCATCGGAGGCTTCCTTGGGCCCTGGATGCGCTCCGAACTCTTCGCTGAGCCCAGCTACTCCCACTTCGAGTCCACACAGACCCCACAGCTGCGGCTCAAGAAAGTGGCAACTTCGCGGGCCGCTGCCCGCAAGCCATGGAAACGAGCCGAACGGATCTACGGATGTCCTGATCTGTCCAGGCGACAGCTCGTCCACTAGTAAGACATCTAGTAGCCAGTACATTAGCAGCTGTGTCAAGGGTCTGCTATCCACGCAAGACTACGAAACCTTTACCTCGGCGTTGCCAAACCAGGCCTGGTAGTTCGTATGCACCACGCCAATCACGTGACGGTAAAGCTCTGTCCACCTCCACAGCCAGTTTGTCTTTAAACTCGGCATCCGGGATCTTTTATGGCATGCGAACCTTAGACCTACCTCTAGTTCATTTGCAACGCTTCGTAAAATGGTACAGGATCGTCATTCGTTGTTTTGAGAGATGCTTTGGCAGGTGTACGGGAGCATAGCTGTCAACATACGCACCCTCTGCTTGACCATGGGACATTGGCAGCTAGACACGATCGCAGCTCAGCACGGCCGGCAGGTCATCATGCCATGCTTGGCACGAAATATTTTGGTCCCGCACGCTTCCGCGGTATATCGTAGCGCAGGGTCTGCGAGTCTGATTCTTTAGGCCTGGACCCTGCTTATAAGGACGTGCAACTGTATGGAGTCGTTGGTCAGGACTTCGGTTCAAAATCCGTCACTGCCCAACATGACAGCCCGGAGTTTCCAGCACCCACTACCTGCAATGGGCTCAGAGACCTGTTGCTGCTTCTTTGCTTCCATCGAAGGTGGCTTTACGATGTAGATATTCACTGCAACAGGTAGCCGGCACTGCATCTCTCCGCGATGTGGGGTGCGTCTGAACTGTATTTTCGCGCAAACGCGCTAAGTGACGCGTGGTGGTTTTTTCTCCACTGCTTCCACTCTAGGATCTACGCATGCTGGATCCTGCTTTAGTCTTACTTGCCTTGTGCTAGACGATGGCTCCATTGAAGCCTGCGCCTTGCTGTGCACGTTGAAGGATCTGGATATATCTGAATGTCTAATTACTGCATCCTCAGACTTGCTTCATTTGCGCGTGTTTGCGACGTTTCCTCCGCATCTTCGACCTCTGAGAACTTGAGAAATACGACTCATGGACCTCGCAAGACTATGCAAAGCTGCACACGCTCCAGGAAGCATCCCGAGCGGATCCACAGCTTTGTAGCAGATCTTCCATGATTGGTGTCCACGACGCCTTCTGCAGTACAAGCTGCGGTACACAAGGAACTTCCGCAATACCCAAGTCTGTTGCAGGCTAGCTACGCTGGACTCTTTAACCAGAAGATCCACACTAAGCATCTGCTGGTCAGCAGCAGGTAACGAGGCTCCATGAAACACTTTACAAGATTGAGACTGAGATGCTCTTGTTCCCCGGGGAAGTCCATTTCAGAATAGGCCTTGGCAAGTGGGTTGCGGACTCGTTCAGGGCTTGGTTCCGTTTCGGGGCTTCGTGTGCTCAAGGCAAAGGACTTAACACTTTACGACTTACAGGGTCGAGAAAAGCCTTAGGGAATATTTTCGAGGTCTTGGGGCGTTCAGCATTGTTATTCCTGGTTTCAAGCGGAGGGGGCCTGGGGCTTGGTGTTCAGAGTAAGACAGGGCTAGGCTAGATTCGTGTGAAGCGCGAGATACTCGGACGTTCTTCCCCGACCGTGGACGAGATGCGTATTTCACAGTACCGGGTGATGTCCCCCCTCGAAACATCTTAAGTTACATGCTTCTTTGGCTTCATGGACGTCGTCGAATCGCGCTCTCGCCTCGGCCCCGAATCGTGCTCTCCCCTAGATCCGTGCGCTACTTCGTGACTTGCATCGCTCCGCATCCTGGAAACATGGCTGCGGAATCTCGACGTCGCCCTCCTCGAAACTGTTGTCGTTTTGGGACGTCGAGGTTCGCCAGATGCGAAAGTGTCGTCGCTTTTGGTGTTTTTGGGGGACATCCGGAGCTCTGCGGGCTTGAAAGTCGACTTTTGTTGGCGTCGTGTCCACTGTTGGGGTCTACGCTGGCTAAATTTATCTTGTCTCGTGTTTGTGGCTTTGGGGCATTGGACATGGCTCTACCTTTACAAGAAAAAAACGTCCAGACATGAGCAGCTCAAATCACAGGGAAAATCCCGGAAGCATAGACTTCGTGCTGTACGCCCGGATCGATGTGGTGGGCGGTGATCTTGATCAGCTCACGGGAGCTGCGGCATGCGTACGTGCTCTCTCTGCGCTATGTGCAACTTCGCGGCGCTACCCTGTGTGACGGGCCCACAGGGCCGGCTGGGAACAGCCTTCTTCTTGCTTTGATGCAATTTGATGCAATCACCACACACCATGCCGAAAAGGAAAATAGTTCAAGGCCTGAATTGAGGTGCTGTGCTGGGGGCTGCCAGCGGTACGAAGCTTGAAATTTCAAATGGCTGTCGGCTGTGCAACATCATTCCGTCAGAGATCTTTCCACATTCAATGGTCAACTCTGACAGCTTGAAAAGTGCAAAGGGCAGAATGTTACCGCAACCCTCGCATCCTCAATCTTGCGCAAGCAGCAGTTCACAGATCTGAACCTCATTAAATTATGACCCGAGTCCAATCTAGTTTTGGAATGTGAACCATCAATGGTGACTACGCATTTGGTCGGCAGCAGGGATGCTTGCAGCAGATCCTTTGAGAACGAATTTGAGGCCAGTAGATGACGTCAGCGAGGCCGCGCATTGAAAACGTGAGCCAGCGCGAGATGTTCAGGGCAATCGCCAAGTTTAAGTGGATGCAAAGCTTCATTGACGTTAAGGTGATGGGTAAACTCGGTCGATGTGCATTGAGTATCGGGTTATCAGCATTACTTTTAAGTTTCGTAACCTAAGCCTGCAGTCGGCTTCTGCAACCCCCCCCCCTGCTGCAAGCTTGACTCGCATCCATGCTGCGTGCTGGGCGCTCTAACGTGCAGGCTCTTGGCGTGTAGAAAGTCTCGGCTGGGTGGCTCCCCTGATGCTGTAGCACGTAGCCGTAGAAACCTACGAAGCATCGCGAACTCTTTCTGCATCCATTCCTGCGTTTGATCTAGATGTGACCCGGTGTCAACACTGATCCAAGGTCATCGCTCACGTCATCTTCGGAGCTGAGAAACATGCAAAGAGTGTGGGGAACAATCCTTGTTTTGCAATCACCTGCTCCGGCTCCCTTGAAGAAGCTTTGGTGGAAGTGCAGAGCGTCTTAGCCTGAGAGCTACGTACGCACCGAATGACAGTGTAGACAAGTGCACGGTGTGACGGCTCCATATGCCGAGGATAACACCGACTGTCCCGGAGTATCTTGCCGCTTGATTTGACCTCAGATGTCCAGCCGCCCGCTCCAATTCACGAAGGGATCATCGCAAGACGCAAACTGCATGAAGTCAGTACATCTATCTCTCAGCAAACAGTGTTCGCCACAGTCTGGACACAAAGATGGTCAGCACAGGCCAACCGAAATTGTAACTCCCACGCCCCCCCCCACCCCCGCTCCACCCCCCCCGCACCCCCCCCAACCAAAACCAAACCCAAACAAATAGCCCACTGGGGCCAAACTTCGGCAAAGAGGCCGTCCCCCTGTTCTTGCTCGGACTTGCGCCTATGCCTCGAACGGCCTGGAGCGAAGGGTCAAAGGATGTCTAAAGGTTCAAGAGTCAGCACAGGCTTCCAAGAGACAAGCCCAGGGTGTAGGGTTTAGGCAGGGTTTTTTCGTGGTGTCCCAGAATCCTAGCGCGGACCCTCGAGGCGCCTTGTTCCGGCGCGTCGCGTTTGGAGCCCAAGTCCCTCGGAGCACTCGTAGTCCTGGGGTCGCAGCGCGACACGTTCAAGGCCACGTAACATTGTCAAGCTCTTTGAATCAAACAACTCCTGGGAGTCTTGGATGTGATGTGGGCTGTGGGGGTGCTGAACATCATGTGCAAATTGGCTCATGCATGTTCTTGCATTCGAGCATCTTGTCAGGCAGCATAAGCCAATCAAACTGGCCGTCATTTTCGTATCCTTCTGCGGACATGGCATCTGAGAAGAGGCCATAGATAAACGCGTAGTCGGGCTTCTCCTTACATCCCCCAAGCAAGGTCTTAGGTGCAATCCGTCTAGCATGATGTACAGCATTCCACAGCACGGAACAAGAGTCTGGCTTCAGAATCTGGAGCTGCTAAAGAGCATCTCAAAAGCTCACATCGAACGCACACAAGCTGGGACCCTACTCTTGCATTTTTTCAGCTGCCCCTTCGCTCCTTCTCATAAACTGCTTGAATGTTGCACGAGGGATGCTACATGCACAGAGCGTCCTGGAACTTGAGGCCCTGTGTATACTGGAGAAACTGGCGGAAGACTTCGTGGCAGCCTTTGCACAGCTCCTGCACACGACATGGTTTTACTTGCCTTCGACAATCAGCCATAGGCTCAGAGAGAGAGCCCGATGATCGTCAGAACCGAGTGCACCTGACATGCACCAGCACGGGTCACTTCCATCTGTGAACCCCGAGCCCATTGGGGGGGAGTCCTCCGTAGTAACTTCCTGCTTCAACTCCATGATCTTCTTGTGTTTCTCCTCCTGCAGATCTCCGTCCAAAAGGGGCTGCTCGGGTGCAGAGAGCCACTTGCCATGTTTCTGAAAGGCTCCTTTGATTCAACCTGTAGGCCCTGCCAGGGCAGCTCACCCAGCGCAAGGTAGATGAGGACCTTTGCTGTAGAATGGCCCTTTGAGCCTTCCAGTGTGCTGAGATGTGCCGAGTCACATAAGCCAGAGCTTCAAGGTCGTCTTTGCAACCCTGCTCTGCCCCCTCATGAGCGCCGATCGAAGCCTTGGATGAATCAACGGCATGGGCAGTCACAAGCAAAGCCCCAACAAACCCCCCAAACCCTCATGCCCCCGACCCTTGATTCTTCTGTTCGTGTGGCATCTGCTCTGTTGCTGTGGAGCTTCTTGGGCCGAGGGGCATAGCGGGCTGTGCCAACAAGGCTGCGGCGTGACCCGAGCCTCGGCCTGGGAATGGGAGCCCGACAGTAAGCAAGTGTGTGTGTGTGTGTGTGTGTGTGTGTACTGTGCATTTCTGTATGCATCTATATATATGTATATATATATATACATACGCATACACTTGAAAACCTACCTACGTGTATGCATATTGCAAACCTGGCCCTGCAGTCTTTACCTTGTAGGACACCTTCTGTGGTTTGCGAGGTGCTTTGAGATTTTACCCTTGAATGTACTGGTGGAGCGATCCATGATAGCTTGCCGCCATGGACGTGCGGTCACCCGTGGAATGTACAGTTGCTGCCTCTTTGACGAAGGGCACATCTGGAAGACAGATGATGGGGTTGAAGCTTTTGGCGGCTCAACACGCCTGAATGCGTCTCCATCGTTTGCGCTGTCAAATCAGATGGTTGAAGGTGTATCGATGCAGGGCGCGTGCACTTCCGCGACTGTCGAAAATTCACTATGTGGGTGCAGGCACTGTCCTCTCATGCGTTGGGTGTCTCCGTATCATTCCGTGTCCTTCTACTCTTAGAGCGGTAGTGCTGCTAGTGTACATGTGTACATCCCCTTTTGCACAGGCTGGCGCCTGTGCCCACTGAGACGCAAAACCAAGCTTGCTAGGTTGTTGTCGAAAAATTTTCCACTGCAAAGAGGAAGGAGGAGCCTTTGGGCAGGACATCGTGCAATCGCCGAGTCCGGCAGGAGCTTTCAGGGTGCTGCGGATCGAAGGGGACTCCAGCATTAGCTGTAGGCTATAAAGGGGCCCCTTGGTCAACGGATGTCAACGGGTGGTCTGCACTGCACCTAAGGTACTCCTCACGGAAGTCCACGACCTCAGCCGCCTTGTGATATGTTGTATCTATGCCATACGAAGGCCATTTCTGCTCAAAGCCATGGCTCTTGTCCGGCTCCAATCTCTTTGTGAGGCCGAAGTCGATGAGATGAACTACCTGAGCCCACGATGTGGATGTTCGCGAAACGAATTCCTCTTATCGCCATGGCTAATGCTGACAAGCGGCATTGCGCCGATCCCCTCGGCCAATGAGGAAGTTCTCAGGCTTGATGTCGCGATGTACATAGCCCTGTGAAGAATGCAACTTCAGCTCAAGCTGCATTTGCCAAGGAGTTTCCAGGGGTTTCCTTGGTCAGGCGCCTTCAAGTGGACTTGCTCCAGACGTCGAACCATCTGGTCTGCCATCATCAGCAGCGTCTTCAAGCCTGGCACTTTGAAGCTCTTCCAGCAACCCTTCGAAAATGATGAAGGCCCTACCTTCAGCTCAAGGTGATCTTGACATGCCCTTTTAGGTCTACTCTGTCAACTTTAAACTGCTGTAATCAAGTTTTTTTGAAGCCTGCGAGTCCAGACTCCTTCAAAGTGGAAGAGCCAAGAGGCAAAATTTTCGGCCACACTTGTTGAAGACGGCTTCTAGAGACGGTCCCAGCAGCTCCATAGCTAGGAGATGATAGCAACCTGCTCAGGCATTGACAGCGGTAGACTGCCTCAGCACTTTCTGAGTTGCACTTGAGTCGCACCACATTGCACTGCCTTCGGGCGTAACATGGCTTGCACAGCTTCTTGGCTTTGGCAAACGCCGGCCTTCTCTACCCAAGGAGTGGACTTTTGGGAAGCCTGGCGCTGAGAGGCGCTTCAGCACGCGAGCCTGCTTGTGGGTACGAGTCAAGGCTCAATGCACAGCACCCTAAGGCAACTGCTCATTCCCAAGAGGGCGGACTAGTGGACTCAGAGGAATCACGGAAGAAGCCCAGTAGTTACGTATCACATTAGGAATCCTGATGGCTCCTCATAGCAACTATTCACAGCAACTACTGTCGAGTTGCGCCTCAAAGGATAGCGAAGAGTGCTTGCCAACAGGATGCCTCAAAATGCGCAGCTGTGTCTCAAGCTTCATCCCCCGCAGAGCTGTCTGGCGCGATTCTCCCGCAGAAGCCCCTGTGTGCTAGCACCAGCAAGCGAAGCCGGAGAGCATCATACCTTATGTTTGGTGCTCACCGAGTACCATACGCCTTGCCATACCACCTCCCACCCGAACCCAGCTTGGCAAGTTTGTAGTCCGCCAGTTTGTTGTTTTCAGGCGTTGATTAGCTTTCTGGCGCTTGAGCTGCCAGGGCCAGCTGCCCTTGCTGCTGATGTTGGTGCGACTCTTGCCCGTTGGGGTCCAGGACCGCGAAACCCTGATTCAAAGAACTTAACCACCACGCCAAGGAACTCTACTTTCACAGCAAGGTCCTCGCCAGTCTGCACGTCCTTTGCCAGGAACACTTGGCCTGATTCTGACGGGCTGACAAGGAGACAGATGAAGGCCGAAGACCAACGAGACGCTTCAGATATCTTCAGATCCCTTCGGCAGGTTCCTCGCATGAACCTGCGCCCTCCGCATCCCACCGCAATGCTCTTACTTGTGGCCATGGGGCCGAAGGAACCATGGCCCAATCTTTTGCCAAGGGTGAACTGTAGCTCGTCCTTGCCAACACCGCACGGTAGTCGCAACACGTGTCGACATCATCCAACATCCACGGTGCTGCGAAGCACTCGACTTCTTGCGTCCTGCTGGATAGTGGAGCCGCGCTTCCATGGCATGGCACTGCGCGACTCAACCCTACGAGAAGCATCTGGAACCTCGCGCATCGTATCGGCAAACGGCTGCAGGATGCTGCAAGCATATCAGCCCATCACGGGTGCTTCCGGGCTTCGGAAAAGGCGTGGCGCGGAACAAGTCGCAAAGCCAAGGTCAGAAAATGTGAGATCCAACTCTACCATACAGCTTTAAAGACTTTGGTGAGATCAGCACTGTGCCTGGGGCCGCTGTGATACCAACAAAGATGCTCTGGCTCCTCGAGAACAAGGACCTCTTGTGGGTAGAGGCGAGTGGAGGAATCTGCCAGGAGATCGGAGATCCATCTCATGCGTACTTCTGGAGAGTATTACAACAGGCTGTGCAGGTCAGACAGCGTGCTGACTTGGCCGCCGGCATCCTTCTCACAATCCTCAAGAACCTGCTAACTTGGACCTACTTGGACGCAAAGCTCTCCGTTCTACCGTCCGAGAGTGCCTTCGAGTTGTCACCGGACGGGAAGATGCTTCGGACTGCCTCCGCATAGTTGGCCTTGTTGCAAGCGGCTCGGCTACATCCCCGGTACGCTTTTTCCAAGAGCAGTATGTCAGAACAGCTTGGATTCCGGCGTCATACCATCGAAACGTGATGGGCAACTTGGCAGAATCCATCCCTGCACGCTCCTTGCACCACTTGACGACGTATCTTTCCTCACCAAGGTTGGAGAATGATCTCTGCAACGAGTGCACCAAAGATGCTCGTGCAGCAAACAAACTGCCCATGCACATCAACGGACAGATCATTAGCATCTGCTAATGCCAACGAACTTTGCCTGCGGTGTCACCTTTGAACCAGGAGCTGTCCTGCTCTTCGGAGCTATGGAAGCAAACTCCTTCCGGGAAGAGGTTCGCCTGGCAAGAGCCCCGCAAGTTCTCGCGCTCGATGCAAACAAAGAAATTGGCCAGCGCAGCTGCCTTGACACTCTTGACACAAGCTACCTTTTGTGCCCTGGTGCTGCCAAGGCATAGAGTGAGACTCTCTGCGGACATGGCTGCTTGAGGCTCCGTGGTGTTTGCTCACAACTGGCTACCCAACGGTAGTGCTGCGCTCAAGGCGCTTGGCTGTTTCGGAGGGTTACGGGTGCCTCTAATGGCCAGCCATCTCCAGCCATCTCGAGCCATCTCATGCCCTCAAGCAGGGCCCGGGCTCGGCTCCCTGGCGCCAGGCTTTCCCTTGAGGAAAGCCAGCGAGATCAAACAGGGCTTCAAAAAGGGTTCCCTGCAGGAAAAGCTGCAGAGGTAAACAGGTTCCAAAGGATTCCCGAGGCTTTCCAAAGCCATCAGGACACGTCTCCTTTTTTAAATTTTGTACAGAGGAAGAGGAGAAGCAGAACCACAACTTCCAAAACTAACCCGTGGGGGGATGCTACACATCCGACCTTGCCGCTCAGTTGCTCAGTTTCGTTTGCTCAGGACTTCAGCTATTTTTCTGGAAACGATGCCAGGCGGATCCCACTCTGGACCCATCATGGCCTCGGCCAAACAGCATCAAACAGCAAGGCCGTGGGCATGTGAAGTCAGACTGACACCGGCAAATCTTGCGAAGTCAGGAGTACTGCAGAAGAGCTCCAGCAATTGAGGTTCTCCTCAATCCAAGTTCCCGGCCGCCTTTCCCATCATGGCATTGCGCATCATCACCTGGCCAGCAGATTACCCCAGTTGCTCGAACATGAAGACCTCTCGGCTGCCTCAGTGACGTCCAGGTTCTGATTCTGTGTCATCGCGTTGAAACCTTGGCCGACCGACAAGGAAGCGGTCGTACCGAAACCGAACCGTTGCTGTCCAGTGGCTGTCTCTTGCCTCAGTTACCAACGCACGACCACGAACAAATGAGCAACTGCTGCTGGTTGATCCTTCTTTGGAGCTTCGGGCCCTTTGCCGAGGCTTTAACGGCCCCCCAAACAAGTGCAGACCTCCCTTGCATGCCGCCCAACGGCTAGCGACGGCTCCTTCGGCTGCCAGGACAACGGGGCTCTCTTTGGCACCAGCTCCTCCGACAGATTCCGAAGGCAGGTGCTCATTTCTTGGGCTCCAACAAGGCTTTGGCGTACTTCAAGGGGCCGAAAGCTAGAACCAGATTTGCACCTCAGAAAGGGCACGAAAGCTCATTAAGAGGGCAGGGTCGAGGCCGGCAGCAAGTTCCCACCCCTGCAAACCTTAAAAGAAGATAACGCTCTAGCACGCCAAAGAATGCGCCTCCTCCAGCCTTAGCCTCAACAACACGCCCCCCTCATGGCTCCGACACTGTCACCCCACTTAAAACCCTCCAGACGGATCAGCTACGCAGAGAGTGAGGCGAAGCCCATCCCTCAAGATTGAGGAGAGAGCTTTCGGAAGCAATCTTTGGCATGTAAGTCTTTCGCTACTATATCATGGTGCCTCAACGGCCACTGCATCGCGAGCACGGACAGCCTGGCATGCCACGGACTGCATGCCGCAAGCTCGAAGGACTACCGGGCCACGATTGTACTGCAAACCGTATACCATCCTCCACTCAGACAACTTTCTGGTTGCCAGCCTTCTCCACCCGTGCGGGCGCTGCCGCAGCTGCACCCGCAGCAAGCAGCGCAGCGCTGGGTACACGCCCTTGGAGGTCGGAAGTAGGATGATGGATGACTTGTTTGTGTTCAGCCTCTCTGCCTCCCCCAAGATTCTTGTCTCTGTCGTACTTCTCCGTTTCCTCGTATTTATTTTTGCAGGAGCACGGTGGTTGGCTCAGACCTTACGATGTCGGAGGAATGGCGGGCCGCCATGCAGGTAAAAAGAGAGCGCATAACGGCCGCTTTGCGAGGATGAAGTCTTGCACTTTTCAAAGTTGGCCCGCCGTCTTTACTTTATGGGCACTTCAAAATTAGCTTTGAAATGTTCCCAGTAGTACAACTTGTCATGCTCTCCCATAAGGAAGGAGTGGCACTTGCTTCTTCTTCTTCTTGCAGATTTGTGCAGGAACATATTTGGTCATTTCAGATAAAACGCAATGTTGTTGTGACTCAACTGCTTCGTCAATTGTCGCACAGATTGCCTTTCTGCCTCATTTTGGTCTTGTTCTGGCTTTGGGCTTCAGTCTTCTGCTTGTCGTGCGAATTCTCTCTCAAAAAGTTGTGTATGATCATGTATATCTAGAAACTTAGAGTTGTACATGAGCGAACATAGCCTTGGGAACTTTCCCCTGACCTTTGTCTGATCGCAGGGCCAAGTTTTGTCGACTTCTGCGGTTTGGCGCTTGGAGCCTCGGGCCCGCAGCTGAAAAAGGCAGGGGGGCCTCGCCACCACTGTCAGGTTCTCAACTCAAGAAATCCGTGGGTGGCCAGAGGAATCATGCTTCCCACGTTTCCCTCTGCTGTCACTAAGGATCTGACGAGGTACCATGGCACGCCAGGGCGTCTCACTGGCAGGCCTCGTTGCAGGCTGGCTGATACTTTCGCCACATGTATAGTACCACCTTTCATTCAAGGGCGCAAGGATAACACCATCACAACAGATCAGCCGTGTCAACGGACGAAACTGTCCCTCAAGGCAAAGTATGATGCAAAGTAGCAATGTGCAATGTACCGAAGCATGATAGTAAGAGTTACCTGGTTACCTCCCATTGGCACATCAAGCTACTAACCTGAGGATAGCCTCATACCATTTCGAGGCATTGCATTATGTTAACGATGTTTTGAGAATCTAGGTGTAGTGCATGCAATTAGCTTCAGATATGTTCGCATTCCTCCTCAAAACTAATTGTTAGTCTGTGTATACTCGTCAAAGGATTTAAAGCTGAGATAACCCAAGGGGCATACTTATCTGGGACCGGCCCCCTGTTCATTCGCATGCTGATAACAACAGTAACAACTTAAACTGCTATACTGCTTATCTGAGGGGTCGACTTATATAGTTGGGAGACTTCCTCCTCACGGTGGTACTTTTCGCAAGGGGCAAACATGTGAAATAGGAGACACAAAATTTGCCCTTGAATAGGCTGTCGAAATTTTACGGGGAAAGCAGCACCGACCCCCCAAAATCTTGAAGAACGATTTCCTCTAGAAGGTCTGACGGGTATACGAACGTATGCAATACATGGAGGATAGCCACTGGGACTAGAAACCCTGTCAAGTTAGTGTTGATTTGGCCAACTAGTTCACACCGGCCTGGTGATGTTCAGAACGGCATGATGCCTTGACGAACCCCAAAGATGATGCATGTGCATGTGCATTATTTGCACCTTCTTTTGCTGCAAGGGACTTGTCAGGTGCACGGAGATTGCGACACGAACTACAGGGGGTCTGAGAGAGAAACCCTAAACCCAAAAACCTCGGGAAGGGCTGGGAGGGTTGGGGGGCGGGAGGCCGTTGGCAGAAAAGGGAGGAATACTACATTCACAGAGGCATGAAGGCATAGCACATACACATTCACTAGAAGCACAGCTCGTCCAAGTGGAGTAAGGGCATGTCAGACTTTGCGCAAAAAGTGTTTCTCACCCACAGCGCTGAAAGTGCACATCCTGAAGCTGTTCTTGCAGCATTCTACCGTCGCCTCCGCACTCAGGATCACCCCAGCACACCACGCGACCATTCTCACAGATCGCTGCGAATGCCCTCTGCGAGCCTTTGATCTGGCGCACATTTTGAAGCTCTTCTTGCACGCTGCTGCTGTCACCGCCTGAACTGGCTTCTCCCCAGGTGAGGACGCGACCACTGCCAAGAATGGCTGCAAAGGCTTTCTGAGAGGACTGAATTTGCAACACATCTTGCAGATCATGTCTTACAGCGCCGCAGTCGCCACCAGAAAACTTGTCGCCCCACGTCACGACTCGACCGTCGTGGCGAATTGCAGCAAACGCACGGCCAGAAGCCCTCACCTCACGTACATTGTGCAAGTCAGCATGCACTTTGCTGCTGTCACCACCATAGTACCGGGCACCCCAGGTCACGACAGATCCATCGTGCAAGATGGCCGCAAAAGCTCCGCAGGATGCCTCAACACTTTGCACAGATTGCAGAGTCAGTTCAGAGCATTCAGAGCTGACCGAGCTGCTGTCACCTCCAAAATATGGATGCCCCCAAGAAACCACTCGGCCATCAGCAAGCAATGCAGCAAAGGCCCCGGACGAGCTAATGACTTCCTGCACACTCTGCAGCTGGTTCTGGACTGAGTCACTACAGCCGCCCAAATCGCTGCGACCCCAGGTCACCACCCGACCGCTCCTGCACAAAGCCGCAAAGGCCCGCTCGGTTGCTTGAATGTCTATTACGTCGCTGAGTTCTCGCACGGCTTCGCTGCATTGGCCACCAAAGTACTCGTCTCCCCACACGGCCACTCGGCCATCACCCAGGATCGCAGCAAAAGCTCCATCCGAGGCGCAGAGTCTCCGAACGTCGCGCAGCAGTGGCTGGACCTTGCTGCTGTTGCCACCAAACTCTTCGTGACCCCAGCAGACGACGCCGCCTGAAGCAAGAACCGCAGCGAAGGCCCTCCCGGTTGTCTGTACTTCTTTCACGCCATGCAGTTGGTCCTGCACTCTGGAACTGTTGCCGCCAGTGTCTGGGTGGCCCCACGTCAGCACCCGGCCATCAGAACGAATGAGAGCAAAGGCTCTAGCAGTGTGACTCGACACCAGACAGGCTTGCTGGACAGTTGCGTGGACTGTGTCACCGTCTGCCAGACCAACCTCCTCGAGATTTTGCTTGGATTCCAGGAGTCGGCCACCGATGCTCAGACTTCCAATGCCCACTTGGAATTCTTCCCGTGCCCGGTCTCTCAAGTCTGCGACTGTGGATTCCAAAGCTGCGCGAAAGGCAGCTGTCTGACCGCTAAGCAGAGCGACATGCACGAGAATCATACGCACAGTCGTCGGCACATCATGCACCAAACTTCTGATCAGTAAACTAGCCTCCCATCACCTACCTTCCGCCGGCTTCATGACTGTAGCCGCTATGCAGGCCCTGTGCAAATGAAACCTCTGACTGGCCGACTACAGAATACTGAAAATAGAGCAAGGCTGGTGCTTGAACAGCAGCCTGGGAACTCTCAAAAGACCTGCAGAAACGCACCCACATGGGCTATGGGATGCTTTGGGCTCAAGGAGGCTCAAGATGGCCCAAGATTTGGGGACCTGACAGGCGGGTGTCCGCACTCTTTGCAGGCCGTCGGGGCTCCTGCGTCGACACGCAGCAGTGTGCTCACCGTCCCCTTATCCACTTACGTATTGTGGGTTTAGGATGGGATCGAGAGTCGGCTTATACTGCACCTCTGCCAGCCCTCCTGCCCCGAAACCTAATTACAGTGGACACCGATGTCCTGTGTCACAATGGGGGCTGCCCGGCGAGGATCCTGCTGAGACAGACTTTTGCAGGCAGTGCGCATCGAGAGAGCTGCCTTCAACTCTCAACCACACGTTTTTACGCATACACCATGTCTGGTTCAGTATCTCGTCCGCCACCTGTTCCTGGATGAGCTTCATGTACCGGGCCACCTTTCACAGCATCTTTCTAAGTCAGGCGTCGAGCTGCTGTGAGCAGCTGGGGGTTGTCTACAGTGATGGCAGTAAAACTCATCTTCTTTCCAGAACCTTTCAGGAAATGCCATGCCTTTCATTTGTAGTAGTCAGATTCTTCTTTTGGAGATCTAAAACAGGGACCCCTCGTTTACATTTGCTACTCCAACGCCGGCCTTTAAGTGGGACTGGGCGGAGTTGTCATCCACTCTGCGGCCTGAAACTGGGACTTTAAGGACCTTAGGATTTCAGGGTTAAAGCTTCTGTCCAGTCGGTTTTGGAATGGGAAGTTTAACTGACAGGAGATCAGGTCCAGTGCCTCCTTCCGTGAGGACTGTGGCGATCTTCCGAGACCTCTCTTATGCTGTCATGCTCCAGAACGACATGCAGTGCTACAAGGGACACACGGACACGCGGCTGGCTGTTCGTGGTTGTGGCCGAGTGGCACCATGCCAGGAGGTTCCCACTTCGGGCCCAGCTCGGAGCTTCGACCGATTGTTGCCGCCTTCATCATCTCCTAGCAGGGCGGTGGAGTTTCGGCCACATATGGCCCCTGCATCCTCTCTTGCATTCCCCTGTTTTCCGAACACTGCAAAGCCGGTAGCAGCTCCCATGCATCCCCTATGCCCGGAATGCCTCTGTCACGTCCAAGCGGTTTTGGATTCCCCCCAAGATGGAATTCAGGCCTCAAGGCGACGAACACTCTCGAACCCCCACTCCCTCTGCTGAGCGCTGCTGGGAGCCGGACTGGCTCGACCAAGAGATGCCTCCGAGAGAGGCTCAGAGGCGAGGTTCAGTCGTTGACTGAAGCATTATGGGGGGGGGATCTTGTATTTTGAGGAACTTCTTCCACCATGATTTCCGACGGGGGGAGGAGGCCGTCGATTCAGACAAGCAGGAACTCATGCAAGCTCTCCCCACCTGACCTTCCCCCCCCCCCCCCCCCAAAAGGGGCAAAACAGTACACTCAGCCAAATTCAGCCAAATTCAGCGGGCCTCACCCGGGCTCCAATGCACGGTCGACTGGGACATGTTGGACCTCCGCATACTGGCAGCGAAGCGGGTGCCCAAAACCAAACCCTAAACGCTAGTCCCCCCGAATAATCCTCTACACCTTAGCAGCGCATCCTGAGGCTCTGAGATCCTGAGGGCCTTGTCGTGAGAGTCTCAGAACTATGGTAACTATGGCGGCCTCACATGCAGGCTCCATGCTTCCTTGTCAACTGCAGCAAGCGGATAAATCAGCAATTGTTACCCGCAAAAGCCCCCGCCCCCGCGCCCCCACAAATATCCCACTGCAACTACAACCTCTTGGTTTCGCAAGATGCACGAGGTGACCTGTCACAGGAAAGGTGCCTCAGTGACTGTGAGATATGCTTCTGTTTGCTCATGTCTTGCTACCGTGAACGTCGTGTACGGATGGACGCTATGAAGCGCAGAGCCTTGCCAGAAAATAGCCGCGAATGTGCAAGCGCCAGCAGCCAAGGCGGCTCGGGGTTTGGGAAGTTTGGTGTTGGAGGGTTTGGCTTCTTTTGGTTCGAAGGCATTTGCAGCTCAGGCTTAGCTGTCATCCTTCTTGCTGCGTGATAATGCAGCTTTTGCAGTCATGCCTGTGCGACGTTCTGCCGAAGTGATCAGGAATCAGGCTCCAGCGGCGGCGTAGTGTGTGGGTGGGTGGGTAGTGTGGCACTGGGATGGGCAGACGTCTCTGTCCATGAAACATGCCTTGTGGCACTTACATGGCTCTGTGAGCCCACTGGCAGCGGCAGTCTCGGTTGCCAACAGCATGTTGGTTAGCAGGAATGGGGGAACAGTAGTAATGTCAGATTCGTCATGACAAGGCTCAATCCTACATTCCTGCATTGTTTTAGATTCTGAATACTGGGTAGTGGGTTAGGCGTAAAGGGGCCTTTAGGGTTCAAGGCTTCGCCAACACAGGTAGGCGCTATCAAGGTCCCTAAACCCTTGAAATCCCAAGCTACGGGGGTTTAGGGTTCAGGGGTCATTATGCGTAGATAACGAACTCCAGCTTGACTCTCCCCTGGGTCCATGCTGGTGGAAATGCAGCTCTGCCACGGGCAAGAGGGTGCCTGCTCCTCCAAGGGCACCCACGGCATGACGAAGACCACCCGGTGCCCGTTCCTGCGAAAAGTACGTCGATGGCGAGCAGGCGGCGAAAGTTGAGGGGGCGGAAAATGCAGATGTTTCTGACTCTCTGAAGAACTTGGAAGATCTTGGAAGTGAGAGGCTGCCCAGAACCAAGACAGCTCCTGGCGAGCTGTAGGCTTCGCAGCAGGGGGTTGATGGACGGACCAGTCCTTAGCTTCGACATCTTGATGACATTGCGAATCCGCAAGCCCATGGGGGGTTCTTATGTCGCTCAAAATGTCGGCGGGTGACGTCCACGGCAGCGCTGCCGTAGTGATAACTGTCACATGCCTGCGGAAAAGCCGATCTGAACGAAGATTGGCGCAGCAGGCCGAGCAGCTCTCAAAGGCTCTACCCGCCAAAGCATTAACAGGAATTTCAACCCGGCAAACACCGGAAGGCCTTGATCTGCTTCGCAGGTCCGAAGCTTCCGTGCACCTGCGATGCGACGACACGAGAACAAAAGTACTGGAAGCAACTGCACGAGTCAGATCAAGACAGTTTTGGGTTTGGAACTTGCGGCTTAGGAACTTCCAATTTTCGAGCCCCAAGTAGTCGCATGAGCCCCTAAAAACCTAAACCAAAATAAGCCTGAAGACGTCAGAACCCAATCATAAGGACACTAAGTTCATGCATTTCAATGAGACTTGGCCTAAAGTGAGTATGGCTTTTGTTCATGCAGTTGCTGGCACAAATCGATATTGAGGTTTTTGGATTCTTAACTGTGTTAAAAGAAGTGAAGATATGAATGACGCATGCACTCAGTTGATCAACTAAGGGAACTAAGCAGACATAGTTCAGAAGAATAGCTTTCCTAAACTTTAAGATGCCTGAAATCTCGAAGCATTCCTGGGCATCCCTGAACCCTGGGGCACCTGGGAAATGGGCCAAGCGAGTAGATGGGTGAGCCCTTCTGCGCATCCTCGGGCGTATAGATGCTCGGGTTTAGGGTTTAGAGCAAGTTTAGGTAGGGGCTATGAAATGCGCACGGTTTGACTCGGTTCTTCCAGGGGCGTTTGTGGACGTTTTGTCTCGTTTCTTGGTGGGATTGCACGACTTCGGTTTCGCTAGGCGTGGGCTGGGGTCTTAGCGTCTGAGCCAGCAACTGCTATTTCGACTCTTCGACTTTTCGAGCAGACGGCCATTCAGTCAAACGAGCGGCGATGGGAGTCCGTCCCAGCTGCTGCACGAGGGAAGCACTGCCGTCTTCACTGGACCTGCGGTTGCGAGCATCGCTGCAGCTTACCGCCTGATTTGGTGTCATATGGCACGGTGCTTGTTTCCAGTTCGCGCATAGCATGGAGCACCTCGTCTCATTGGCGTCCGCGTCCGACGTCTGTGAGTCGCTCAGCATTGCCATAAGCGAACCTATCACCTCAGAAACGGGACAGAGGTAGCGGCAATTGTTCAAGCAGCTTGGGGTTTAGCATGCCGTGTTTGCTTGCTGGTGGTATCTGCTGTAATCAGCGCATTCTAAAGCAAACTCTGTCAGTACTCAGCACGGCTAAAGATTTAGCCCATGTTGGCCTTAACAGCTGGCAAGATGGAATGCTTGAATTGCTGATGAGCCGCTCCTGAAATGAAGGCAATGGCGGACTTGATGGGGTTCTGATCTTCGTCACCTTCCTCATGCTTTGATTTGCTACGACAAACATGCGGACAGGGAAGCCAGAAGGCTCCGTTTTTGCAACATAAATCCGACCAGGCCCGAACTAGCAGCAACATAGCTCACTGAGCAGCTCTATTCACACCCCTTCTCCATCAACTGCGAATATGTGGTCCTCCGCCGGAACAGCATGTCGCACCTTGGTAGAGCTTACTCGGTTCAATGATGCTGCCCTTCTCCTACAAACCTAAGTGCTTACAAGTCAGTGTAGCACCCACACAGACACACCCGCTCACATCCTGCGACTACTGCCTTAGCATTCGGCTAATCTCCATGGAGACCTTTGCCGCCGTCGATGTCTCCTCACGGAACGCGGCCAAGAACCAAAAAGCTGCTAGCCTGCGTCCTTTATTTATGATCACACCTTGCAAACTCCGAGGGCCTCTGGCGGACCGCGGCCGTCAGCGGCAGCGCTGCCGCGGCAAGCACCCCTTGGCCTGTTGAGGGCTTTCAAGAACTGCGGCAGACGAACGTGTGAGGAATCGCCAGTGAGTGTGCGTCAGCAACTTCTGTGAAGTCCAAGACTTGTCCCCCACATCTCCCCCCAACTCCTCGCCTTGCAGGCGCCGGTGCCTCTGGTTATGCTGCGGAGCCTTGGAGACCGACCAGCTGTGCACCTTCAAGCCCGAGTCAGCTGGGCAGCTTGACTTGCTACCGTCCATGGACAAACCTCAACAGCTTAGTTGTTCAACCACAATGTTCGGTTCTGGTGGCACCCAGGAAGAACTGTGCGGAAAACTTCGAAACAGACCGCGGCTTTTCATTGATGTGACACGCTGAGTCAACTTCATTCAACATCTTTCAATTTGCCGGCCTCTGCAGCGCGCTCAGACCGCTGTGCTGCAGAAAACGGCGAAACAAACGCGAGCATAGCACCAGCGCACAGGATCTACATTGAACGGCTCTGTGTATGTGGGCGTATGTTGCTGCAAAGGTTGCAAAGGTTTACTGCCAGAGTGCGGGCAGCTTCAGCTGTACCAAACTATGCAGGCAGATAAGGTAGTCAGTTCTTCGCAACTCTTGAACACCACAAGTTGCATGCGTAGCTTACAGGATCGTATGCCAGCATGACTTTGATTCGCAGTGTCAAGGCGAGCTAATGAGCTTGCAGCCTTGATCGTCGGGACTCTCTAGACTTCAGCTTCAAATATGATCATGCCCGGATGTTCTCCTAATCGTCGGTGAGCTCTTGATGTAACGGGTATTGATGTTGCACTTAGTTTTCCTTATAAGTATGAGGCTTCAGTGAATTCTTCCAATGTAAGTATTCGTGCACTACCCATCCGATTGAAGTTCATTACGGAGAGCCCGTTGACAATCTGTACAATTGCGGCGAACTTAACAAACGAACTCAATATAACAGCAATCGTCCTTGGTTCATCATGAGAACCAAGCGAAGCGAATTGAATGAACAAATCACATGACACGCACCCCAGCAAGGCGGGAAAGTAAAAGAATTCGTGTCTTCGTGCAGTCGTCTTATGGTTGAAGGCTTCACCGGCCTTCGCAGTTGGGACGATTTGCTTCGGGCAGCAAGCTTCTTTGTGATCCACACGCCATCCGCAGCAGTGCACACTTGCACAGACAATTCAGCCCAGGGCCTAGTATGTGCACAGCCCGTCATTCAAGAAGATACATTTGTCCGAGCATTGTCCCTCGGATGTGATGGATCTAAAGACAAACTCGCCTCGGACCTCCCAATGACAGCGGCAGCAGACGAAGCCTTTGGTCACAGCCTTGTCTTCCAGGATTTCCTGATGGCCCTGGTTGCCGAGATTTCCCAAGTTCTCCCCCATCAGGTCTTTGTCAAAGTTCTCCTTCATGTCCTCCTGACTGCATCCAGTTCGTGTTCACTGATAGTACTTGCTGCCGTTTTGTTTTTATATCTTAGCTTTACTGAACGTTCCTTCCGCCAACGACCTTTAAACTAGCTAGTTATCGAGTTGTTCCACCTGGCCTGGCCCTGATGCAGGTGCACGAGCTTCTCATGCTCGTGTGTTTCCATTTGGTTGCGGACGGCCCCAGCGTAGGCTGCCAGACATACCGAGAAGGCCACGAACAGCATGCGATGCATCTTTGTTCTGGATATGGCAAACGATGGTGAGGATTGCTTTTGAACCTTTGAAACAGGCTGCGGGTCAGTATGCAGCAGCCATGCACCGGAAGCCTACGATACCTTCAAACTTGTTGGCCAAAGTAAAAGGTGTTTGAGTACGTTCAGCAACTCAGACATGGCACAAACGTGCCGCAGCGAGACTTCTGCACCACGCATTGTTCCAGGGTTCCTACTAACCCTGAACTACCGAACCCAAAGCCCTCAAGCAAGGAACCTCCCTCCTGCAACTGCAGCGGCAGCAGCATCTTGGCAGTTTTCGGGGGACGGCACTTTGCTGAAGTTGACTTCCTGGCACGACCGTGTGCTGTTTTTTCAAGGATCTGATCTCGTGCTCACACAAAATTTCATCATTCCAAAAGTGTTTTAAGATGAACTGCTGGCTCTCAAAGTTGCTGCCGCTTTCATGTGCTGGAATCCTCGAGGTCTGCCATGTCATGTGGACCACCGAGCAGAGCGCCCCGGCCGCGTCGCCTGTTCAACATCCAAAACAATTAAGTTCTAAGCGACAGGCGAACTGGCTCAACAACAATTCAGGATTGCAAAAAAAATCGCCTGAACAATCTTGACTTCTGTCGCAGTCTCGCTTGACGTCTCTTTTTTTTCTTCTTTTTGCCGGGCATGAAGGAAACCTACATGGTGCGAAGAGCTTTGCGACACAAACCCAATCCTGGAAAGGTCGGGATGTTTCCCCTTGATAGGGGTGTATAGGAATCATCGCGGTGTGTAAGGCTTTCCCAGCGCTGCGGGTTTCAGGACAGATGTGCAGTCTCTATCTAAGTGCATCCGTATGCGTATGGACGCCGCCCCGAAGTAAACCCGTTGCCCAACTAAAACAATGAAGCCAAGAGATGTTGACAGGACTCTATTGTGTGTTAGCTGTGCTTTACGATGTGACCCTCATTCCGCCAGCGCTTGCTCCAAATCTTCTGTATCAATTGAATGGTGAGATCACGTGTGAACGCCTGTAACCCGCTCACCGGCTGCCCAAAATGTAGCACCCTTGCAAGCTCAACGACACGGATTTTAATTGCATCCTCGTCAGCATTGACAGGGATTGCAAGTGGCGCGGTACCCATTGGTTATGTTGTTCACTGTAAACATCTTATTCATGGGGTGAATGTCCATTGCTGCGGCTTCTAGTATGGGGCACTGCACGTCAGGGTTAGACGGCAGCCCAGCGGCATCAGCATCTCGCTTCATGTCACTGCTTTGGTCCAGGAGCCCCACGCGGCTCCGAAGCACATCCCAAACTGTAGCGGTTGGACGCTGCACGTTCACAACCCCGTGATACGACTCCGAACGCTAGCGGCCAAAGCTGTGGAGGACTAGGTATGCATGTGGATAACCGCCAGTTGCTACTCTGTGAGCGGATTGTGTACTTCAAATAACGTGAAGCTATCGCTGCACATTGCTCATTGCCTCTGTATTCTAATAGGTTTGTTTCCGAAAAGTTTTACTGCCTCCGTTTTTTCGAGCACCAGCATTTCCAATAAAACCATACGTGTAAAATTAGGAAAATTATCATCATCAATACTTAAACTTGATATGTCATCATAAATGTTTACAGTGTGGATTGGAATAGAATCTAATCGTTTCGGAGCGGGTAGAACCACTATATCATCATCAGTCAATAGTCAAGCATGAGAAATATATACATATGTATATATAATCCATGTACGAAGGACCTTTATGTACTATTTGGCGTGTGGCTTGGCTTCTTCAGGCAGAATTTAGGAATTTGAGGAATTTAAGAAATTTAAGGAGGCCGGGCCTTAATTTATTGTTCAGGCGTTTGGGCCAAAGGGGGGAAGGGGAGTGAGAGGGGCCTAAACCACAACTAAACCCTCAGCGCAAGAGCGCACCTTTTGCATGGTTGGTGCAGATCCGACCCCACCACCCGTTGGTGATAGGATGCAGCGGTACAAGATGCCTGACCGGACGTACCGGACTACTAGGCAGAGCGAAGCACTCAAGGTGCGGCATATGAAGATAGGGACATTCCACAAAGTGCCTCACCGGACATACCGGACTACTAGGCGAACACGGCTTGGAGCAGCAGAAATTGTGGCCTAACTGGACGAACCAGACTACTGGGCCGATAAGAAGCATGGTGCCTCACCGGACATACCGGACTACTAGGCAAAGAAGTTGCACAGCCAGCGGAGAAAGGCCTAACCGGACGAACCGGACTACTGGGCCACACGATCCTTTAGCAAGCGTCGGCAGCCCAAGTGGGCGCGGTGCACAAAAAGGGACAGGGAGGGCGGGTACCAAAACAATCGGCCTTCAAGCCATGCCACGGCGGGTGGCGATCATCTGAAGGCCCACGGTCAAACAGAAAAGGATCTCAAAGCATGTTCCCCAAATGGTGTAAGCGGTCCAAAACGCATTTTCTCAAGTTTTGTTTTTCCCCCAAAGAACTAAGCCCCACCCACCCGCCCAGGCCAAACTTCAAGAACAAACGATTTGGGAAACCCAAAAGGTTTGTTCAGGCGTTTGGGCCAAAGGGGGGAAGGGGAGTGAGAGGGGCCTAAACCACAACTAAACCCTCAGCGCAAGAGCGCACCTTTTGCATGGTTGGTGCAGATCCGACCCCACCACCCGTTGGTGATAGGATGCAGCGCCGAACGGACATATGCCCCACCGAAGGCGTTTGGCGCGCATCACCACGGAGTTTTCTCGGCCAGCTTCTGTTTGATCGAAGCCTTCTCCCGAATTGGATTCCGTTCTCTCAAGGCCACCTTCGATGCTTCGTACTCATCGTAGCAAGCCATCAATTCCTCAAACAAATCCAGCTTCAGATCGGAAAAGGAAACCGGCCTCCTCAACGACATGTCGAATTTCGAGAAGTCACCATTTGTCAAATCGTCGGCCTCCGTGTTCTCTTCCCGTGGCCTCCACTGCAGCTTCACACGCAGATTGGAATGAAGGAGTGTCTCAGACATTTGCATCAGCAGCCCCATGAGCGGCCACTTCGTAGATGACCCTTTTGCTTCGGCCTGAGGGTTCGACCGATTGTCTGTTCCACCATAGATCGTTGCCAACATGACATTGCGACATCCAGCAGCCTGAAGGTGACCAAATGCAAACAAGGCCAGATAAGAAGCCAGCAACTCGGCGCTGGCTGATGCCCATTCACTTGCTCCATCCTCCTTAAACAACCAAGGCGCCATTGTCGGTGTGACTTCAACAGAAAACCAGTCTGCTTTGGCCGGCACGTTCCCTTTGGCAAGGGACCAACCACCCAACACGACACGTCCACGCTCACACTTCGCATCCGTTCGAAAAGACTGGGTCACAAAGGGGGCCTGCCGCAAAGCGGGCACCAAGTGGTGTGTCAGCAAAAGATTCTTCCGGATGTAGATGAGCGAGAGATAAACCATCGTGGGAACGCGTGCTGTTGTTCCCCTTGCCAGTACTGCACACCAGGAATGCAGCGGAGCCAAGAAAGGTTTTAGCCACAATAGCAGTCTACCAACAAAAGTCATCCTGCCAGTGAACTCTACCATGGCACGACCCACTACCATCCAACTCGCAGCCTCAAGATCGTTGATCCAGCCCACTATCCACTTTGTGCGTTTGGATGAGAGCCCTGCAGACCATTGATCATATGCGATATGATATCCCACGAAATCAACCTTGATCCCACCTTTGAATTTGTGGTAGGCAAATGGTGTGCCGATTGCCTCGTACGCCGCCAGGGCCATCCAAAGCACAAGGAATTTTGTGTCTCCAGCGGTCACGAGGTGTAAATCATCCACGTAGACCACCTCCATATGCCAGAGCGTGGTCAAGATGCGTAGCACCCACCTCCCAATGCATCCGAACAGCCGGCTCCACCAGTAGGCGGCGGAGCTGATGCCAAATGTGCCGACAGTATTGAGCCATACGGTACGTGATGTCGAACTGGAACGGCACCCCATTTTAGGCCAATCCTTTCGCCTGACCTTCACCTGGCGATGAGCTTGGGATATGTCGGCAGAGATGGCAAACACTGCTTCGCCCGAGTCGCGCGCAAGGGAAACCATCTCTAACACCTCATCAGGTCCTGGTGTCTCCAATTTATCCAAGATGCGTATCCGATTGTTCAGGTTGACGCCGTGAGTTCCGTCGTGCAGCGGCCTGATGTCACCATTGGGTTTCTCCACTGCGCCCATGGCGGCTACCAAAAGCTGCCCCGGACCATACTCCTGAGCCACTGCTCCCTCCGTAGTCGGCAGCATGCGGCCTTTCTGCTCATCAGCCCGAAAATGCTCCTCAAGTTGCTCAGAGGACAATTCTGCTGACGTGTAGTTGTCCATGATCGCTTGAAAAGGTGATGCATCCAGTTTTCGGAACTTTTCACGACGGGCAAAAACCTGCGGTGTACGGGGCAGCGGCTCCTCGTCACCCAATGGCACGCCTTCTGCAAAGCACTCCGTTCCTTGAATCAGAATCTCCCAGTCAGGGTCTCCCAAGATCCGCAGAGATTGCGCTAGCATGTACAACAAGAACGGCTGGCGGTCAGGAACCCGAAGCGCCAGGGCCGGATCGGGCAATGTTCCCGCCAGCTCACCACGTAGTCTGTCCAGGGCGGATTGTGTGAAGGGACTCGATTCCAACCTTCCGGCAGCCAAGAGGAAAGCAGACTTCCGAATGTCAGGGAGTTCAGCCAAAACGAAGTTACGCAAGATCCTTTGCATCCGTTCAGCATGCAAGCTCTCCTCCCATGAATTCAGCTGTCCCCTTTGGCCCGGTGGCCAACGGCCCGGGGAGCATAGTCCGAAGCCATCAACGAAGACTCGCTTGCCTGTATCATGACGACAGACCAAAGGTTGTCCAAATGCCCGGCTTGTACGCGGATCAAAAGGAGGTTCAGTGTCTGCAGTCTCTTCCGGAAGCTCATCCCCCGAATCCACCGTGATCACTTCCTGACTGGCTTTTGTCGAGGGGTTCGCCTTGGCTGCCCCAGACGCCTTTTGTACCATGACCGATGCAGGAGCGTGTTCCCCCATGCGTGCGCGGTCTGCATCGGGCAAGACGAAGCCCAGCGCGGCCAGCAAGGCAACTTGCTCAGGTGAAAGAAGGTGTAGGTGGCGAACCGTGAACCCCACGAGGACGATGCGGCAGCCGCGCCAGGGTTCCGTGGCATGAAGATATTTGTGGGCGTCCAGCCGCCACGTCCAACAAGCGACCAGGTCGGGCCTGGCCGGCCACTGTGCGATAGACATCGCCCTCAGAATCTTCCCGCCAAACTTGCCCAGCAGTAAACTTGGAAAGTGGCATAAGCAAATTGGGAAAGGGAGCATTGTGCACGTCCTTGTGAGGTGCCGTCAGTGTGTTAGTGAAAACAACCAGCGTAGAGAAGCATTGTCCTGGAAAGGCGCCTCGAAGAGCTGCGGTCAGAACCTTGATGGAACATGGGAAAGAATGGCAAGAAGATCGCAGTCCCACGAAACCGCCCCGGGCATAGGCCCCGGCGAAGAAAGCGCCTTCACGTTGATGCCCAGCAGCCTTGTGAGAAGCTTCCCGGGGCAGGAGTTCAGCAAGAGGCTGCAAGTCGTCGGGTGCGAGGGCATCCATCCGATGAAGGAGAGACTGGGCCAAGGTTTCAGCATCGGCCGGTGCTTCAGGAAGATCGGTCTGTTTCTGTGAAGATGTTATGCAATCAGCAAGATGCGAACAAAGTAGAGGTGGGTAACGTTCAGATCCAGCGGTGCGCCACGTGCCTGAGGAAACGTCCCAACCCATCATTGATTCATGCCAATCGTGGTTGCACCAAGTCAAAGGACCAGTGTAGCACCCATCAGCATCAAAGGTGGGCCAGCCATTGGACCACTGTTCCGCCAGTGGAAGATTGGACAAGAAGCGAGTTGGTTTGGGATGCAAGGCGCCAAAGGCGCATTGGTGAACCGCCCAAGTAAAACCGTCGAGCGATCGGATTTCAGCAAGTTGCCAAATACTTGCCGGGACATCCCCAGTCTCGGTGACACCCAAGTCCTCGGGATGTTCCCAGATGTAAAATCTGTTCGCTGCACATTGATATCCGATCGCCTCCAAACATTGTTTGACAAAGTAGTTGGCAATCTTGACTAGAGCTGCATTCGATTCGGAAAGCCAAGGAAAACCCCATGGATGCATGCAATTGCGAAGAGGAACTGGTCCGGATCCGTTCCCGACAGATCGGTGTCGGGCACGAGAGTACGTGCCGCAAGGCGGGCTGCAGATCAAGATGTCCCATTGTCCCGCACGGAGCTCCGAGAAGATATTCTCCCAGAGTGAGGACTGAGATAAATCATCATTAGGCGAACGCTTCACGTCAACCTCACGTAGAATTAATTCAAAGGCGTGCGCATCACACCAGCGTTCAAGGAAGTACCTCAAATCGCCATCGCGTGGAAGACCAGCGAACAAGTACAGCACGTTGAGCTGTGGGAGTCAGGCGTCGGTCTGCTTACCCGACTTCGCGAAATGCTCTTGCCAGTGCTTCCAGGTTGGGTGATCACCGAAACAACTCCGAACTTGGCAGCAGTGAACCATGCCACAGGATCCGTCGCAACCAGAAGTTGAGTATGCAAAGCAAATGAGCCTGCCGTCCGGTGTTCGGCTGGCCAGCTCCCCCTTTCCTTTGCCCTTCCGCTCCTTTCCTTTGTCTCCACCTCCCTTACCTTTCTTATCCTTGCCTTTCGGGGGTTTGCCACCTCCTTTCTGCCACTTCCATGGCTGCTCGCCACCAAAATCGGGATAAGCGTTTTGACGCTTCCAACCATCGCCCTTCCAGCCATCCCCTTTGATCCGATGTCCTCCCAGAGCGATGGGCGCCGTAAAGAATTGCTCTTTCAGCTGTGGATCATCGCACACCTCCTTGAGCGTAACTCGTAGCTCTCTGGATTCTCGAACTGCACGCTTGATGGCTTCTTTGCGTAATTCGTACTCATACGTCAGCATGACGGTCCATGGCGGTCGAAGCGTCATTTGATCCTGCTTGCCGGATCCCTTGCTGCCTGTGGGGATCTGCATGCGATAGACTTTCTCCCCCAGCAGATAGTTCGCGTAGTCCAGCCAGATCGTAGGATTCATGCCTGTGAAGAGCACCTTGTTGCGATACTTGGAAGCCAGATAACAGAAAGCCGTCCCCTCAACACGCAGCACTGCACGAAGCTCCTCAGTGTTCTGAGGCATCACCCCCTTAGCCCGTTGCTTGACGATCCGCACATGACCCCCAGTGTCCACTGAAGTTTGTAACCCCATGGTCTTCACTTGCTTCCGGCTTGTAACTTCTGAAAGGCTCGACGCTGACAACTCCCCATTCTCGATCTCCTCCATCTTCGTGGAAACATAGTCGTCTGAAGGCTCAAAGCTCTCCTCCACTTTACCATATGTTGCTTCAAAAGATGCACGCATGGCTTGACGTTCTGTCTGCGTAACCGGTCTCGTGATCCCAAGAACTTTGGCCTCTGCACGTAGCTCAGATTCCTTCGAACTGTACTCCTTGCATGACTCCCATGCTGAAACCACTGATGCAACAGCCGCACGTGTCACTTGATCTGCAGGTTCCAGGGTATGATCGGTTTTTAGGGCCTCCCGCACCCCGGTCCGTGAATCCGCATATGCTGCAAACCTCTTCACATTCTTGAAATCACTCCCCAATTTGTACTGCAGAGCGAGGGGCACTCCACACTCCTGGAGGATATGAAGCAGATCAGATGTGAGGTTCTTGTCCAGGTAGTCCAGCGCATCATCGTTCGATACGCCGGCCGGCAGCGTGAGTGCAGCCGGCGGGCCGGGCGGTGGCCCCGCCATTGCAATGCGATCCGATTGCACCACCTTACAGATGCATCAATCCTGACCAAGCGTTTAGGACGCAAATCAGGTATACTAAGAACCAAACACGAATTAGAAGAAATCAACCACCTCGCACAAACAAAGAATCTTCCACCGCTTGATCCTGAAAGGATCCGATCATGACCAACAAGCTCACTAGTGCAGCACCTACCAGTTCGTGAAGATCCTACGGCCATTTCCACCATGGCCCAACCGGTGCGTCACAACCCGCACAACTGAGATTCACCTGCCACCTCCACCGTGGCTCTTGAGTGCAGTTCGCGACTCTTCTGTTGAAACACGCAAGGAGTGCCTGCAACTACCCAAGCAAAAAATTCCCAGCACCCCCCAAGCAAACAAAGCGCAAACAACCCTCGGATCAATCACCTTATCACTCGGGGTCTTCACCGGCTGCTCCCAGAGGCTCTTCCTCAGTAAACTCTGAACCACTGCTGGAAGAGTCAGGGCACGCATCCATCTTTGGCCGGCAGAGTTTGCAAACTGCGTCGGCGATCCCCTCCTTCAAGACGAAAACGGGAGTCGTCTCAGCACATCGCTCCTGCCGCACCGCGCAGCTCTTGCTCAAGTGCAATCGACGAAATCCCCGACGTGAGATTGTAATGAAGTATGGCGCCTCCGGCATGTCATCGACTTCCACAGCCGAATACGGTCCAGGGAGTGTTGCATCCATGGAACCAGCTGAAGCGACCACGCGATCAGGCCCCACCTTCATACAAGGAAATTTCCCATTCAAAGACCACCATTGCTTCTCATCATCCCAAAGCAAAACCTCATGTCCCAGAACCACGGCAGCGCCATTTATGCCATTATCGTCAGCAAAGGTCTTGATAGTATGAAGCAGCTCCTCTTCCATGTATCCACCGTCTGCGTTTCCCAGCAAAAGGCATTTCGAAACATGATTTTGAATCGCCTGTACCACCTGCCGACTAGTCAGGATGTAATCCTGTGGTCCATGCTGTGCATACGCCCAACGCCCCAAGAAATCCCGGCGGTCCTTCTCAACTCCCAGGGCCGCTGCCAGACTTGGTAGAGTGTGTCGCGCGCTATGTCCCGACCAAAACATCACGAGCTGATCGGGGACCAAGCGCGTCCTGTTCAAGCCCCAAGTATTCCCACTACCTCGGACCGGTGCCATGAGCGACTTGAGCAGTCGTCTGCACTGAATAGCCAGCCCTTCGCCATCCATGTAAACACGACTGCCATGATCCCAATCTTCCGTGAAAATTGGACAAAGAAAATCCCTCGACCACCTCAGCTCCGCCGATGACGCCAATCGGGATCCTTCGAGCATCCAATCAAATCCCGACAATCCTGCCACTCTCGAGATGAACCCATGCAATTCTCCAACCTTTCGCCCTGGCCCACTGGTCTTGGTCTTCTTCATGACAAATCTCATTCCAATCTGTGAAAACTTCAGGGTATCTGGATCAATGTTCTGAACATCGTCTGCTCTCAACGTCCCCCAGATCATCAGAAGCAAAACGAATGCTGTCCACCGTAAGCCAATCGGTCCAGTGCTCTTACAAACAGCCATCTCCAGCGAAAGCATGATTGCAACAGTGAACATAGGGGCAGGACGCACTGCTGGCGCCTGAGCCTCCAGCTCCATGGTCCATGACCGGAAAATCTCCAGCACCATAGGGTCTTGACTGAGACGGTCCTCGGGGGGGACCTGCCCCAGTGTCTCAAGCAATGAAACTGAAGACAACAGACAGTTCGGAACAGTTTTCCCCATGACCTTGCATTCTGCCCGCTCTTCCATGTATCTGAAAAGATGCGCAGGGGACCCAGGCCAATAGAGGTTGAAGCTGACTTCCAACCATCGTCTAAAACGACCCCAGGCCTGTGCTCGATTGCGCAGGGTCTTTGCTCGACGGCTGCCAAACATGCGAATCCATGCAGATTTCGTTTCACCAAGTGCTTCCATACGTGCCACACAAGGAAGATTAGCATCGCGCATGTACACCACAAGCTGCAACGCCCAACGTTCCCTCTGCTTCGACTCGAGCTCTTCCCTCGAGGTTCCTCTCGCCTTGGAGAGCTTCACCGCTTTGATAACTTGCCCGAGCGAAATTCTGGCAGATCCAGCCACCAATTGCTCGAAGACATCAGAAGAAGAGACCTCTGGACATGGTATCTTCAACGGTCTTGACACGATTGATTCAGCTACGTCTCGTGCACGATTAGTACCGCGCGCATTCTGCCTCAATGTCCATTGCCAAAGACTGATGCCAACCCGATCCACCTCAGCCTCAGTGAGTTGATCCTTAAGGAACTCTTTGACCAAGATGATTGCCTCTGCCTCATCATCATATGAGCAAGAAATTGCGCAGCGCTATGGTAAACCTCTTGCACAGCTTTGCATAGTAGCGAATCATGCGTCCAGAGATTCTCCCATCCAGGTTTCGGTCCAGGGCCCGTCTCTGACATCACTTCTCATGCTCTGCAGCAATGTAATTTGAAAACCATGGCGACTCTACCTGCACAAACCTACCGGAAGACCCTCACTACCAAAACAATCGGCCTTCAAGCCATGCCACGGCGGGTGGCGATCATCTGAAGGCCCACGGCCAAACAGAAAAGGATCTCAAAGCATGTTCCCCAAATGGTGTAAGCGGTCCAAAACGCATTTTCTCAAGTTTTGTTTTTCCCCCAAAGAACTAAGCCCCACCCACCCGCCCAGGCCAAACTTCAAGAACAAACGATTTGGGAAACCCAAAAGGTGAATTTTTTGAATTCGCTAAATTCCTAAATTAGCCCTAATTTATGAATTTATGGAATTTAAAGAATTTGAAGAGGCCTAAATTCTTTAAATTCCTTAAACTCCAAAATTAGGCCTAATTTAGGAATTTAAAGAATTTAAAGAAGCCGAAATTCTTTAAATTCCTTAAGATCCTAAATTAAATTGGTTCTGGGCCCTAATTTAAAAACTTTACAAATTCCTTAAATTCCTTAAATTCCTGAAGTTCCTTAAATTCTTAAATTCCTTAAATTCCTTAAATTCTTTAAATTCCTTAAATTCCTTAAATTCCTAAATTAGGGCTACTTTAGGAATTTAAGGAATTTAAAGAATTTAAAGAGACCTAAATTCTTTAAATTCCTTAAATTCCTATATTAGCCCTAATTTAGGAATTTAAGGAATTTAAGGAATTTAAGGAATTTAAGGAATTTAAGGAATTTAAGGAATTTAAAAAATTCGAAATTAGGGCCCAGAACCAATTTAATTTAATTTAGGAATTTAAGGAGTTTAAAGAATTTAAAGAGGCCGAAATTCTTTAAACTCCTGAAATTCCTAAATTAGCCCGAATTTAGGAATTTGAGGAATTGAAAGAGCTTAAAGAGGCCGAAATTCTTTAAACTCCTTAAAATCCTAGATTAAATTAAATTGGTTCTGGGCCCTAAGTTCAAGTTCTATAAATTCCTTAAATTCCTTGAATTCCTTAAGTTCCCTAAATTCCTTAAATTCCTTAAATTCTTAAATTCCTAAATTAGCTCTAATTTAGGAGTTTAAGGAATTTGAAGAATTTAAAGAGGCCTAAATTCTTTAAATTCCTTAAATTCCAAAATTAGCCCTAATTTAGGAATTTAGGGAATTTAAGGAATTTAAGGAATGCAAAAAAATTTAAAATTACGGCCCAGAACCAATTTGAGTTAATTTAGGAATTTAAGGAATTTAAAGAATTTAAAGAGGCCTAAATTCTTTAAATTCCTTAAACTCCTAAATTAGCCCTAATTTAGGAATTTAAGGACTTTAAGGAATTAAGGAATTTATACAATTTTAAATTAGGGCCCAGAACCAATTTAATGTAATTTAGGAATTTAATGAATTTAAAGAATTTAAAGAGGCCTCAAGTCTTTAAACTCCCTAAATTCTTAAACTAGCCCTAATTTAGGAATTTAAGGAACTTAAGGAATTTACGGAATGTAAAAATTTTTAATTAGGGCCCAGAACCAATTTAATTTTGGAATTTAAGGAATTTAAAGAAGTTTTTAAAGAGGCCTAAACTCTTTAAATTCCTTAAATTCCTTAATTAGCCCTAATTTAGGAATTTAAGGAATGTAAGGAATTTAGAAAATTCAAAATTACGGCCCAGAACCAATTTAATTTAATTTAGGAATTTAAGGAATTTAAAGAACTTACAGAGGCCTAAATTCTTTAAATTCCTTTTTTTTCAACGCGAAAGCTGCAGGTTAGCCGCCGTCAGCACCGACATGTCTCAAAGCAGTATGTGAAAGCGAAGAAAAGCTAAAAATAACTATAAATGCACTCAATGGGAATTGATTTTGACTGGTTTATTCAGAAGGAGCTGCCACTGTTTTCTATCAGTTGCTACCGGAGCCACTGTCCTATCTAGGCGGGTCGTATCCAAGTGCACCATAGAGGTGCTACCATGCGCCGAAAGGACTTCATGTGCATTCGGGATACGAAAGTAAGCATTGTACAGGTCCATGTTAGAGGGGGGGAGATCCGACTGCATATACTGCAGTCGTTGTGATGCCTCTGTGAGGCATGAGGCCGCCCAGTGAACTCTGGGCCGCCCTGTTCTGTTATTGCCATACCCTCTGCGGTAGGCATGCGTGCTAGTGAAGACCACCTGGCTTTCCAAAGTGTCAGAATGTCGCAATACATGCCCCATAAGCTTTAAACGATTTTGGGAATACAATCGGGAGGGAGGTGACGCACGGCCTGTTTTGTAGGCTAACTGACGCAGGTATTCGTTAGAGCATAACGCATTGGACGGGTCGATAACCCGACGGTAATAGGAGGACTTAATCTTAAAGATACGGCGTAAGTTTTTGTAGTGAATTGAATCCAAGTGGACTAATTGGGACTGCGTCAAGGTGGCGCTTTCCATGGCATAGAGGAGGATAGACTGAATAACTGCCCTATATACCCGCAACTTCCAGGAAGGAGGGAAAGCATTATGGCCCGTCAGTGGGCGAAGCGACTTCGAGGCAGCTACTGCCTGCGAGATCCTGTATCTTAAGTGTTTGTTGTTAGCGGCAGCATCATCCACATAGGCGCCCAGGTACTTCACCTCCTGGGCCAGGGGCACCGGTTCGAGTACCGGCTGCCCACCTGTACAGAACTGACAAGAGCATGGTGTGCTAGTGGATGGTTGGTAGTAGACACGGCGGTTAGTGTTGAGGGACATATGCTCACACTTTTCTTCGTGAAGGGTGAGGCCTCTAATTCTACCTTCTTCTTGAACAAGATGCAGGAGCCTAGTTAACTGATCAGCCGAGTTTGATAAAAGGACTGTGTCGTCGGCATATTCTAAGTCCCACACCGGCTTAGGTGTGTAAAAGACCCCGGGAATTTCTCCATACTGTGAGGCATAGCGTTCCTCGACCGTGTGAAACAAATGCGTTAATACAAAAGAGAAAAGGTATGGGGAGAGGGGGCAGCCCTGTCGCAATCCTTTAGTCTGCTTCAAAGGCGCCAGTAATACTCCAGCCGGGTCTGTAACATTGAGGCGAAAATTTTGTAAGAGATGTTGGTAAGCGAGATGGGGCGGTAATTGGAGAGAGAGCGCGTATCTTTTGCGTGGTTTTTAATTAGCATAACAACTTCAGACATCATCCAAGAGTGAGGAACAGCGGCCTGTTCAAGGCACTGATTGTAATGTTCCAGCATAAAACTTTTAAGAACTTAAGGAGCATGCTTGTAAATCTCACTAGCTAAACCATTAGGGCCTGAGGCTTTGCCTCGTTTTAACTTACGAAGAGCAGTATTAAGGTTCTGCCTGGTAAAAGGAGCTTCTATGCGGTCACAGACTGGTTGAGGAGAGCTCACCGGTACTGGAGGATCTGCTTCTGAAAACCGTAATTCATTTGCGAGATAGTCCGCAAATGTAGCGGGGCGTTGTGTTTTTGAGACAAATTTGTTCTTTAAATTAAAGAGACCGGTCGCCCTAGGTTGAAAAGGAGACCGAATGGTACGGGCGTGTGTCCATTGGTGAACGGAAGAGCCATGAGAATCTTCATATAGACAAGAGGAGACGAATTGCTTTTTGTCCTTGCAGGCGCTCTTCTTAATCTGCTTACGGGCATTTTTTAAGGAGGAGACATCATCGAAGCGAGTCTTTTGAAACTTGTCAATGAGCGCCAGGGTTGAACTGGAGATCCATGGTTTCTTGGCAGAGAGAGGTAATTCCGGGATTAAGGGAAGAGATCTGTCAAAATTTCAGTGAGCTTAGAGTCCTGTTCTTCTATTGTCTTGGAGAGCCATTCTTCAACATTAAAACCTACTTCGGGTGGAGAAAGCGAGGCAGCTGGAACAGAAGAGAATCTGCCTATAGAACAACGGGAGGCGATCGGCTATCTCATTGCCCGGTATGCCTTCGTGCGCGGGAACGCTAAGCAATTGTACGTGAAACACGCAGCGCAAGGCCGCAAAGTATTGCTGTGCCAAAGATACAAGTTGTGGGTGAGTGGCGGGAAGAGAGCTACCTAGAATGAGATTTCTAGCATAAGAGGAGTCAGTGTAAATGGTAAGCGAGGAACCTGCAGCAAACTGCGAGTAATACAAGAGAAAGTCGAATAGTTCAATGAGGGCTTTAAGCTCTCCCGTATTATTTGAACTAGGTAATGGTCCCTCGACTGAAAGAGGAGAAGTTTTCACAGGTCCATATCCTAAAATCCAGGTAGAGGAAGGGGGAGGGTGCAAAGTTGCACCAGCAGCTGATGTAATGGCAAAGCCCCATCCCGCCGGATTATCGGCGGACACCACTCTGTTATTTGGACAAGAGCCATCGGTATCCGCGATATAATGCTGATCGGTCTTGTGCGGGAGAACAACGGTATTGGAGGTCTCATCCAATAGTTTAGCTTCTACAGCTGACGAAAAGTTTTCTCAATTTGAGTAATCCTTTTTAGGGGCAGAAGGAACGTGCGCGACTGGTTCAAACTGAGGTTTACTAGAAAATGTAACTGGCAAATGGCGAGAGTTTATTAATTGTTGGAAGATAGAACCTTCGAAACGTACAGCTTGTCGCAATCTAAGAGGTACGGCGACATAGTCCAAGGTCGTCCAATTTCGCACGTCTGTACCTTGTAGGAGATGGTCGTCACAGGCTAGTTCCTTGTAGGTACACCGCTTCGCAAAAGGAAGCGAACTAAATGTTGGGGGAGGATCAAATTATGCGCCTGTAGTGTGTCATAGAGAAAAATCGCATTATCCCTGTCCTCATCATGGATGGACTGTCGTTCGCCC